GATATTAAGCATCTGCCTATATGAAATGACAGTATTCACTCTGCTATTCTGTGCTTTTACAGCAGGAAAACAGGTATTTTTTCAACAAAGAGCTTAAAAGCCATGCAGACAAATGTTAGCACAGCATTGAGCCTTCATGCCGATGACAAATAAATAGCCTAAATGCAGATGAAAACCATGGTTTGAAATTAAGATTAAGGAAATTAAGAGAAAATTGTTCATCTTAATACTTCTAATAAATACTTGGCAGAAATAAGATACCGCTAGTGACTGCTACCTACCTTCCTACCTCAACTTCAAGCCAAACTGATGCTGTTCATGCAATCATTCTTATTTTGAAATAAAATATTAATAATTGTTATATGTATCAGCATTTAAGTCTTAAATTCATTGCTATTACTGAATGAGGTTGAAGTATAGTAGGGGATTGCTGTGTAAAAAGCAATAAAGGATGTGCAAAGGAAATGTAACTTGTGTTCCACAGTTTAATTTTCTCTACTATAAGCATTGCTCGCTGTCCAGAGATCACAGGTGTTTGGCCCTTTCCTCCTGAGTCAGAATTGAAAATCCATTGTTTGAAAAACTAATATCAGCCAAATCCTTGTGAAAATTGAGATTTTTTTTTTTTTTTTTTTTTTTTGAACAAAACATGCTGCCAGATATACTTTTAATTAACTGTGCTCCTAGTACAGCTTAATTACATTTACTTTTTGGACATTTATTCTTCTTGGAAAATAGCATTTTAATGGAAAGTCATATTCTTTGGCCTCTGAGGAGCTGATTTTTTTTGGATTGAACTTGATTGGTTACACTTTGAAAATAGGTCAGTAACTAATAGCATTTGTATAAGGACTAAAAAGCACTTTATCAGTACTCATTAGCCATTGTGGTTATAAGGTCTCACTGTTAAAACAAACTTGATACTTTCAAGCAATAATAGGCAACTCCACAGTTCTAAAATATTGCATATTCATAACATAAACCAAAGATTGATTAAAACAACAGTTACAAGAGTTGCCAGGGGCCAAAATGTTTAGTCATCTGGATATGATCCAGTTTAGTTCATTATAAAGGGACAGATGCATCCAGTTTCTCTTCCTGCTGTACACAATTAATATATTGTTATTCTTCAGTGTGTTATCATAATCAGTTGGCATTTAGCCTGCCATCAATGCAAATCTTGGCGTAATGAAACCTAACAAGAGATTTTCATGCAGATAAGGAAAATTGTATACATAGCAATCAATTTGAACACCATCACTGATTTAAAACGAGCTGAACATCAAGCATTTATCATGAAAGTTCCTTAGCATTTGTTTACACGTGTTTATTACAGATGTTTACATGGTGGGTCCTGATTAGCACCGTGTAGAGGTGGTGAGACCTTGGGGTTTTGTATTTTTTTTCTTAATGCTTCCAAGTAGCGGCCATGGTTTGATTTTGAAAAGGAAAGAACTATGCTCAGAATCAGTGTTGCATGCATGTAAAATACATTTTCATGAGTGAAAATTGATGAATGTAACAAGCAAATATATATTTTGGAGGGCTGCGTGCTTTGTTCCCGAGGCTGTCATTGCATGTATAGGTGAGCAGCAAGGGAGCAGGCCTGCAGAGCCTGGTTGAAGGGAACGTGAGAGATTCAGGAACATTCTCAGTGTCAGCTGAGCATTTGCAATTAGCTTTCCAAGAATCACCTTTCACATGCTGTGAAATACATTCGAAATAGCTCTGACTTCTGATTAGTTTTCAGTGTGGGATGCTTGTTAGAAAAAAAAACTTACTCTGATTGGAATGACAGGACAGAATTTGATAGAGAACGATGGTCTGCAAACTACTTCTGTCAATTATTATCATATCCTTGAAAACAACTTTTCCAGTTAGTGGAATCAATTGCTAATTCATGTTCCATCTGGATGCTTATGTAGTTACTTAAGATACTGAAAAAATTGCCCTTTTTTAGTAGTGCTTTTGTGGAGATGGCAATGAGGCATAGGCATGGTCTAAATTTGTTCCTAAGTGAACCCAGAATTATCTCATCATTGTAAACTGTGTCCTTTCTTGCTTCTCTGACCTTAAAACCTGAGTGCTTAGTGTGTGCTGCCCACTGTGCCACTGAACTACTCCTTGTTCCATCCTGGGGCTGGTTGCACTGTCCCTTTGTGATGCTGATGTGCAAGGTTCATGGTCTTCCATCTGGCTGTGGGTACACGTCCAGCTATGTGTTTGCATTTAGCAGGGCAGGAATAGCCTCTCACCATCCCACCATGCCACTTGCATGCTGGCAACAGACCAAGACTAGCTGCTATGAGCAGATTTGTAGCTGTTAGTATTTTGGATATTTTGGTCTTTGTTTCCCTTTTTTTAAAAACACTTAAAATATTATTGTTGTAAAATAGTCCAGACTGCTGCAGGAGAGAAATTGAGAGTTTAATAACTTTCAAAAATACTTAGAAAAAGCCTCTGTTGGGTATATTGTCTTATTTGTTCTTATGTGTACTCAAAAAAAAAAAAAAAAAAACAACAACAACAAAAAAAACAAGCAAATAAACAAACAAAAAAAAAAAACCAAGAAAAAACCCACAACAGTGTTCATCCTTGCAGAGTTCGTTTTTCTTTCTTAAGACATGGCGTTCAAAATACCACAGGCCAAAATGTGAGTTTTCCACTATTTTCAGTGGTGTAATTAGAGAAAGTAGAGTTATTCAGAAAATAAAGTTTACCTGGCCAAGCTGTGTTTGTTGTACTCGTTGACTGCTTTTTGTGTCCTACAACTTCTCACATTGCAAAGAAGCATTAGATGAACTTTGTGAAAATTCTGGCGAAAGTGCTGCTGTGGTGGAAAGGACAGTATATGCTGGTGTACATTGAAAAGAAAAACAACAACAAGTCTTTTGGAGTCATCGCATGAATTTCATATATTTTAAGGGAGAGAATAGAGAGTGAAAAATTCTCCACATTTTTAAAAATGTTTTGTTTGTTTTGATTTTATAATTAACTGAAGTCTAATCCTGTTCAAGAGATGTTACCCTGGAGGGGAAAATCTAGTTACTTGATTGTCTATTTTGTCTTGGCAAAGCCAGGCTGGTACTTTTTCTTATATTCAGAGTTAGGAATGGTGAAAAACAAGTCGTTTAAATGATGCAAGTAGATGTCTTTATCTGAACACCTTATGAGAAAAGAATATTCTAAAACTATTGGTTCTTGAAGACTCTATGTGAAAAAAGATCTTTTAAAAGATCCCAAATGACCATATCATTTTTTTTAACATTTTTTTTCTCATTTTATTTGAATGTAATTGCCCTAATTAAGTGTAAATTTTAGAAATTTGCATTGCGTAGTTCATTGGCATGTTATAATAAAGCGGACAATTTTTAATACTGCATTAAAAATACTACAGCAAACACTGAGATGCTGTCTCTGCAGATAAAATACTTCTCAACAAGGGCATATTATGAGTGCATATCCATAGCCGCAGAGTCAGGTTAAGATGTCTGACTTTCCTATGTGCCTGCCTAATCCTGTGCTGCTCTGTCCTTAATGCCAGCACTGCTGGGTCTGTAGCCAAGGGGTGATTGGCTGGAGGAGAAAGACCTGACTTGAAAATAAAGTATTCGCCAACTCCTATTCTCTTGTGCTGAAAAGACAGCAGGGATGCAAGAAGCAGGAACAGTAAGAAGTCTGGTGTAAGATCTGCTACAGAGTTGCTGAGCATCTGCACAAAGTCCAATCATGTTTGAAAATATGTAGTTTTATCCTTTTGAAAGAGAATTAATAGGAAAGTATTTCTAGGAATAGGAAGTAATAGGAAAGTATTTATTTAGAAGAACATACATATTAAAAATGGTTGTTATTGACTGGAATGTCTTTTTCTAAGCATGTTTGTTTTAAATTTCACAGAAGTCTCCACGGTGATAAAATATTCCCATATTTCTGTCAGTTAAAAAATGATTTTCCCTGTTCAATAATTCTAGATAAGAATATTTAGTTCTAGAAAAATTGTGTGATGACATTTTCTACTCATCCAATTTTAATAAATTTGTATATGACTTGGCTAAGTCCTTAATTCAGTCTTTATAACAGATTTTTTGAGAAGGCAGGACAGAAGATTAAGTATTTGGAAGGCTCATGCAGTTTCTTGAATCAACAGAATTTACTTGTAAAGGACAAAAGATGTAAGATGTGGTTGCAAACAATTTCTGGAAAATAGTCAGAAAATTATATTCATTTAAGTTGAGCTTTTCTCTTTAAATGTGAAAAGAAAATCAATTTGATAACATTTAAGATCTACAGAGTTCCATGGAAAGTGTAAAACCTCACCTGAAACAAACCTCTGAAGTTTTATTCTATGTCTGATTAAAAACATATTTGGGACTCCCATGATTTCAAAGTGATTTGTGAAAGGCCAGCCACTGTGTTCTGATAACATGTTCACTTTAATCATAACTTTATTTTAACTTCTAATTTGAAATAAAGATTCTTCTGCCAGAAAATACTGAAAACAGAAAATGCCAAAATGAGATTCTTCAAAATGTAGACCTCTACCATCCCTTTTCACTCTGAGCAGAAATGTATCTTCTCAAATTTGTCAAATGTTTTGTTTGAATCAGCATTTCTGCAGCATTTCTTAGGAGTGTGGAGGTAGCATGAAAGAATGATTCAGTATTTTTTTTTATTTAGTAATTAGCCCTGGTGAAATTTGAGTAAAAGTACATAAAATGATTATCACAAAACAAAAATGAACAAAGACTCTGAATCTTGAAGAGTTTGAAAGCTACAAAACCTTCAAAAGAACTGCAGATGCAGTAACTAAACAAAATGCATTACAACTGTTATAAAATAAATTCTTGCTAGATGATGATAGTATGAAACAGGATTTTTCGAACTTTCCTTAATAGCATGTTTTAAAGAGCAATGAAAGTTAAAATTGTGTTTTAAATAAGGAATTATTAGTTTTTATTATTTCTTTGTCTGATTATCTTCTGTGTTTTTGTCTTTTTTAGATCTTGATCGTTATGGCAAAATCTTTCAGCGGTGTGTGGTATATCCAGCTACAGGCCGGATGATCTACAGTCATCTGAAACATGATATATACATTTCCTCTTCCTTGTTCATGGTGAGTTTTGTTCTTGTATTGCATAGTCGATAAATACCTTTTTTATTTACTTCAGAGAAGGAACTAAAATCTTACAATAAACTGCATTGAATGGTGCTCACACTGTTTTTATTTGGATTAGCCTAGCATTGTTAATTTAACTTATGCATAGAAATCAGTTCTTAAGCTGTTCAAGGATTTTTATAAAATCAACTTGGAAAAATTGCCTCTCTCTTTAGATGACTTTGGAGCTATGCAAATATCTTTATACACACCTTGAATTGCTGTTTCTCCTTTCAGATTGAAAGCATTTTTATCTCAGTGTTTAATATTTTAGGTCAAAATAGATTCAAGCCAAATGCTTTTTTTTTTAGTATCAGACATATCACAATGTATTTTATGTATTTAAGGGGAAAAAGAAAAGCAACATCGTTAGAAATATAATTAAAAACATAGGAAAAATATGTTGGAGAAAATATTTAGAGGAGTTCTCAGTTTTGTCTTTGTATTGTCTATACTTTATGCCTTCAATTATTCCGCTTGTAGTATCCATGAGTAGTGTTAATAATGTTAAAAACAAGGCTTTGCATCGTACAAGAAAACTTCCATTTATGCTTTCCACAGAGTCCAGACATGCAATAATGTGATCCAAAGCTCAAACTGTTCATTTGGCTAAACGAAAATTTAACACTGACAAACCAAATTTGGATATCACAATGTTTCACTGACTGTTCTTCAATACACCATAAAATAGCAGCCCAGAATCCTGCCCAAATATTAGGTCAGTCATTTGAGGTTAAAATTCTTATGGTCTTGTCCTTCTCCTTTATAATAAAGGATTTTAACCTGGCTCTTAAAGCAGTTTATTTGTGATTGATACCAAATTTTATGAAATCGATGATTGATTAGCTACTGTTAAAAACTATATGTAAAAGTTTGTTACCTTATGTGTAGAGTACAAGTTGCAAGAAAAGGTCTGACAAGCCAGCATGAAAAGTATTTTTTATTTCCACTCCTGTTCTAGATTTCTGAGTCCTTAGAAATATGCAAGAGAAAAAAAAAATATCAGAGATGAAAGCAGTGAGAATAGAAAAGACAAAACAATGGAATTAGTCAAAGCCATTCTTATGATGTGCTTAAGTACTGTAATGAAGTAACATAGAGGCAGTACAGTTTCCAAAGATGTGTTTGCACTTGATAATGGAAAGACGTGTTTAAATATCCTGTATAAATGGATAGGGATATTTGCCAGCAAAATTCATTACTGTTATTTTTGGTGGAAGTAAGTTATTTACACAGTGAAATGGCCAGAGGTATAGCGCGCTTTTTTCATCCTTTGGAGGACACCTTTCATCTACCTCTCTTACCAGTGTCAACCTGGCTTTAAATTTCAAATGACATGCCTAAACCAGACAGATCTGATACCAGAGAACCAGATAAATAGCAAAGAAAACATCACCTCACTTGTTTCCACTGGCAAATTATTGGAAAAATGTGATACTGTTTGATGGTTTTATCTAGTACCTGTTGATTCTGTGAGGCAGTTCCCCGGGTATTCATTGAGTCCTGCATTGTTCCCTAACCAGGCTTTTTATTTGCAGAATTAGCTGATTTGCTTCAAAGACTTGACCTTTTCTTTTCTCCTCTTCCTTATCAGCAGTGTGCCATGCATTTCTGAGCCTGTTTTTGCATCCTGAATGTGCACTGATTCATGGTGAAATAAGGGCTTTGTGACAGGTCTGGTGGAAGGACTAACCTCTTTAAACAGAGAAAAGGGTGTCTACTCTGTATGTGTTAACACTGCAGGATTTTGTCTCCTATTACAGAGATCTGCTGCACCACATTTTACTGAAATTATTCTCTGTGTCCACCCACGTGAGAACAGAATACAGTCTATAGTGTTTCCTTCGTGACCAAACTGAAAAAAAAAAGTCATATTTTAAATTCTTGTTTAGGAAATGTCATTGTATGTTGTGCATATGATTTAAAAAAACAACAACAACAATAACAACAACAAAAAAAAAAAAAACACAAAAACCCACACAAGAAAAAACTTCTTGCTATGGCAATCTATTCATCAGTTGTACCCTTCAAGCAAAGAGGACAGGTGTGAGAAAGGCATGTTCATCTCTCCCTCACTATCATGCCCTCTCAGCACGAAGTACAGATTCTCAATAACCCAGAAACTTAGCTCAAGGCTTCTCTTTCACAGGATTTAATTTAATGTGGACATAAGGAAGTAGACTGAATGTTACTACACGATACAAATTCTGGAGGATGTTTTCCTACCACTGAAGCAGGAATGTTATCTTGAGACTAGATGGGCCTTATTTGCTGAACTCAAACCCTACAGAAGTAGGAAGATTCACAATAGGAATAGACATACAGAATCTGTAAAATAGTAGTTTATAATCATAGTAACAGTACCAGTTTGCTCCCAAATCTCATACTCCTTTAGTTAGATCAGGGAAACCTATTAGAGAAAGATGTGTTGAGCTGATGGTGTCAGCCTTTTAGAGGGTGTGCTAAAATGCAGGAAGTTACATGAAAGGGAGTTGGAATGTCTTACAAGGAGTACTGCAAATGTAAAATTTACAATTAGAGCACACATTGTATCTTCATTTTGATTTAAACCAGCTGATAACAATTTTGGCGTGTCTCTGGGGATGAAAAGTACAGCCAGCTCCGCTGAGATTAAGAACAGACAAAATCAAACAAAATCTGAAACTTCATATAGTGTTTTAATATTTAAAGGCCTTTTTTTTTTTTTTTTTTTTTTAGATTATGAATATGTAAAGTCAACAAAAAATTAAAAAAAAAAAAAAAAAAGCTGTAAAGAGCAGATGCTAGCTGCTGTTTAGGAGACATTTATGATAATCAAAATGAGGATATATAAAACATTAAAGGTCAGAACATCTACAAACAAGATAAGTGGGTGAGACCATATGTTAAGTTACAAGAATAACTGAAGAATTTTAAGTATATGATCTCATTATTTGGAAGGCAACTAAAAAAAAAAGCCTAGAAAGCTCAATTAAAGGACTACAGTGGGTATCCCAAAGCCTGAGTGCTCACAAGCTATATTTTGGAGTGTTACACAGTGTAGACAACAACTTCTAAGGATAACATCAACAATTGCTTGGTGGTGTTAGAACAATATAATCAGATTTTAAAAACAAGCAAAGAAACAAAAATCCAGAAAACCCACACACCAGATTATCACAAAAAAAGACAAAACTTGGAGAAGGTCGAGCCCTGGATCTCAATTTCAGATACCCTTCTTAGCTCAAAACAACCTCTGTCAAAAATCACATTCAGAAACTCCTTAGACCAATACTGGAAACTACAAAAAAATACTGGAAACTACTTAGACCAATACCAATGGAGCAATTGGGTGTTGGATGTTTATGCTGCTGAACTCTAGTTTCAGCCTCTTTGCTAATGGCTCAATGCAGTTCAGTGTTGTAACTGAAGTAAGGTGTTTTATTTCAGTGTAAATCATGGCCAGTAAGTATGAAAACCAATCCTTTCTTTGTTATTCCCATTGCTTTCTTATTGTGAACATTCATTGTTCAATAGATTAATTTTTGTTAGGGTGTTACTCCATCTGTTCTCACATAGATGCCTACACTGAATCTGGATCTATCCTTTCTGCTATGCTAACTGGTAGCTGGGCTTCCTCTGGATGCCAGAGTAAATGGCATAACAGGTACACAAAATGAATCAAAATGAAGCATGCATTATTTATGGAAGTAATCACAACCCTGCTGAGACACAGTCTGCTCTGTGATGCCTGCAGCAAATAAACAGAAACAGATGACTAAGTGTCAGCATTTGTCTTGAAAATTTCTGGTCCAGGTGAATTTGAACCAGGTTTTTTGCTGTGTCTGAACATTCAAATAGTTAGTTTCCCTTCCTTTTCCTTTCCTTCTGTACTTCATTATCAAACAAATACTGTGTCTACCATGTGTCAAGACTCCTGGATAACTTTTGCCCCAGAAGCTTCAAAAACTATGGAGAAACTCTCCTCAAAGTTGGTTATTGGTTAAGGCAAAGCTCAGTAACACAGGAGGTATTGCTGTTGGTTTGCACTCTGTTAGGGTTTTCCTGTTAGTAGGGAATCTTAACTAATAATGTTATATCATAACAGATCAGTGCATCATTTTTCTTTTTTATTTCCTTAAGATACAACTTGTGTCCTCATAACATGACCATAAGATTTGGTTTTAAATGAACTGCTGCAAGAAATTGCTTTATCTGAATAGAAACAGTGAAAGATTTTCATTTGCTGTCAGTTTGCATTTGTGCATGGTTTTCTGCTGAGTTCACAAACTCTGCTATATAACTTCTGTGGGCTTTTTGCATTTAAAAAAAAAAAAGAAAAAAAGAAAAAAGGGTGAGAAGAGTATGTGTGGTAGTGCTGCTGTTGTGTTTAAATTCTATACTGATCTGAGTAGCATCATTTGTGTGCTAGCTTGCAAGGCAGGAGATGTCAGTCATTGTGTTCTCACCATATCTTTTGGATTTCTCTTGATTATTGGTGAAAGTCAAGTTTTTGGGAACTGCTTTCGCATGATGACAGACACTAGTAGTCAATATATTTTGATCGTTCACCTCCAAGTTTTGTTTACTTCGGTCTTGAAGTTTAAGGTGAGTCTGCTGCCCAGTGCTTGTGTTGACATTTGTAAGGGCACCTGAGCTGGCAGGAGGGGACACACAGTGTCACTGTGTGTGGCATTACTTCTTCTGCTAAAAGTACTAAAAGGTATGTAGTACCTAAGAGTACTAAAAGGAATGAATGATGACATTTTTTTCTTTGTTCTTACATAATTATCAGGCAAAGTTCCTAAGTTCCTTTCTGTTATTACTTTTGGAGGTTTATGTTACATAAATATATATGTTGGAACTAAATTTTTTGATGAACACAGTTCTGAAATAAACAAGTTTATATTGAGATGTTCAAAGCTGTGTGGTCTCAACTGTGGAAGAGGAAAGCTGTCCTTTGCTAATCATGGGGAGGG